CGATGTCCCTACGAGCATCGAAGGCTGTCATTCAGTGGGAACCAATCTCCTCCTGCAGGATCATAACAGCAAGTTTCAACTCAAAAGGAAGGAAAGTCACAATCATACAATGCTACTCTATGCACCTACAAATAATGCAGAGCAAGAGAAGAAGGAGGAATTCTACAGACAACTGCAATCAGCACTGGAAACGACCCTATCTCAGTTGGCGACATCAAAATTCTAATGGGTGACATGAATGCGAAACACGGGAAGAGAACTAACCATGGGTCGACAAGCGCTCGGTGAAGTGATGAAAGAAAATGGAGAATTGTTTGCAGAATTCTGTGCATTCAACGATTTGGTGATTGGAGTCAGGCAGTGTGTTCAAGCACAAGGGTATCCACAAAACGACATGGATTTGATTTCACCAGATGGACACACTAAAAATCTGATCGACTTTATCTCAATCTGAAGAAGGTGGAGACGCAGTCTACTTGACACAAGGTTAACAAGAGGAGCAGATGTAGGTTCAGACCACTATCTAGTGCAAGGAACCCACCTTCCAAATCAAGTTGAAAGCCTTCAAGGAAGTTGATGATAAACGACCACAGTTCAGGCTCAACACCCAGAACACAGACTGAAGGACGAAACTCCCAGGGACATCACGTCAGCCATCAAGACAAAGTGGGAGACATCGAGCAACATCTCTGGAGAAACCTGTGTGGAAGAACACTGTAAGTCTTTGAAAGCCATGTGGAAAGAAGCCTGCGTAACCGTGTTAGGAAGCAACAAGAAACACGACAACACAAGGGGTGGATCTCGACGGACACATGGAAGGTAATAGAGCAAGCAGGGAGAGGAATATGGTGAAGTAGAAGATGAACCAGTGCAGTGCAGGGATAAACGACGAAAAGACGAACTGAGTACAATGTATAAAACACTGGACAGTTAGGTGAAGAAGAGTGCACGGAAAGACAAAAGACACTTCTGCGAAACACTGGCAAGTGAAGCAGGGCAGGCTGCTGGTAGGTGAGACCTGACAAGATTGTATCAAATAACCAGGTTCCTATCTGGGAGGGAAGTGATCAACGCAGATGTAACCAATAAAAGACGATGAAGGAAATCTAATTACCAAACAAGAGAAACAAAGGAAACGATGTGCTGACCACTTCAAAAAGCTCTTCAATCTACCACAGCCTGCACTTCGTCCAGAAATACCACCAGCAGCCCAGACACAGAATCACCTGTGGACACAAGCCCTCCGAAAAAAGCAGAAGTCCTGAACGCCATAAAGCTACTGAAATGCGGGAAAGCAGCAGGACCAGATGGAATTCCACCAGAAGCACTGAGAACAGACGCAGAGACAGCAGCGGACATGCTCACACCACATCACTACTATAGAAGGTCTAGAAGGAAGGAAAGATACCTGTAGATTGATCGGAAGAAGAAGGGCTACCTTGTCAAACTCTCGAAGAAGGGAGACCTAAGTGTTTGCAAGAACTGTCGCGGAATCACGCTCCTGTCCACCCCAACCAAAATATTAAGCCGCATCATCCTGGAGAGACTAAACAATGCTCTGAATTCAAAACTACGACCGGAACAGGCTGGATTCAGGAAGTACAAATCATGCGTGGATCAAATCTCAACACTGTGCTACGCATCATCTTAGAACAGAGTATAGAATGGCAGTCAACTGGAGCTCTACCTCAACTTCATCGACTTTGAAAAGGCCTTCGACAGCGTCGACCGAGAAGTCATTTGGAAACTGCTTCTACACTACGTTTTTAGTGCCACGAATCTTTATCAACCTCATTCAATAACTATATGAAGACGCCACATGCCAAGTAATTCACAATGGGAAGCTCAGTGATGCTTTTGCACTTAAAGTGAAGACAGGAGTGAAACAAGTATTCCTACTATCACCCATGATATTCCTGATTGTAGTGGACTGGATCATGCAACAAACAGTGAGGAGCGAGAAGAGGGGGATACGCTGGATCGGGGAAAAGATCCTAGAAGACTTGGATTTCACCGATGATTTGTGTCTGATGTCGCACAAACTTGAAGATCTACAGGCGAAAACTAACAAGTTGACAGAAGAGGTGAGGCAGGGCAGCGAAGATGGAACTTCAAGTGAACGTAGAGAAAACAGAGGTGATGAAGATACCCAGCCAACAACAACAGCAACAACAAGCTCCAATCACCATCAACGGGAGAAGCCTAAAGGAAGTAGTCTCTTTCACTTACCCGACTGGACAGCATCGTTTCAACTACAGGCGGCGGCATAAACACAGATGAGGATATCAAAGCAGCCAGGATCGGAAAGACAACAAGACAGGCTTTCCTGTATTAACCTGAAACCAGTGTGGAGATCTGCACTCCTCTCAGCATGTAGAATAACACCAACGTCAAGTCAGTGCTCCTGTATGGTTCAGAAACTTGGCGCGTTACGAAAGACACTTCCAACAAACTACAGATATTCATCAACAACTGCCTACGCTGTCTCGTTACTGAAGCTCAGATGGTCAGAAAGAATAAGCAACAAGGAGCTCTGGCTGGTAACGAACCAACCAAGAACCTATCGCTGAACAAATATGCCGAAGGAAGTGGAGATGGATTAGGCATACACTGAGAAGACCGACTGGGGACATCACGCGTCAGGCCAGTTGCTCGAGTGGAACCGAGATGGGAAGTGACGAGTTGGGCGTCCCAGCTGAGGGTGACATTGAGATGGTGTGAGGGGGAAATGAAAAGTTGTTGGCAGCTGTGACCATGGAGTTGTAAACTTGGTTGTGAGTATGCGGGCCGTATTGTTTTATTGAATGCTAACATATAAGCTGTTCAGTTAATAAGCAATCAGTTAACGACGCCAATTAGAACCGTTAAAAAAGAAGGAATCTGATGAGCTTTCTTACTTCCAACGGTAACCAGTTGTAAGTAATTCCGAAGTTCTGCACCGCAAGTTTTGCGCCTGGTGGAGATCGTTATTTATTAGGTTGTGCTATTTTGAAGCAGTAGCTTCTGTGAACTAGACACATGTTTCGGATGCCATACCAGTTGAATCTATGCAGTTTACCTTTCGCTAACCTATCGACCGACATATACCACCTTTACGTGGTGAGCGAACTAGGATATCACAATGACCATGCTAGTAGGAGCATTTTTTCCTGCGCGCCAACCGATTGCAGTTCAGTGATAGAAAAAAAACGATTGCTATCAAAAGTTGTCAATTTTGCCACAATAGGCAAAACTTTCAGGTATTGCGATAGCAGTCATTGGTCTCAGCTCAGTGTCTAAGTAGAGAAGCTGAGCCAGTCGGGAAAGTATCTTAGAGGTGTCTTTAGGATCGCATTCTGACAAAGCAACAGCGGTGATTTTCTCCACCAGTTTCTTTCTGACAATCACTTTTGTCTTGGAAGCATGAGGAAATTGACTGCTATATTTGTCATCTGCCGACATAAGGGTTATGGTACAGTTATTGATCTTGTTGCCATAAGCGATTGTTACAGAGTGTCTCAGGTTGATGTCGATCACAGTAGTGCAGATATGTTTCCTCTTTGACATCTTTTATAGTCTGAAGGTTATGTTTAACTTTATTTTTCAATTTCTTACTCTTCACATTCACTTTCGCCTACTTTTATGTCACTCTTTACCTTACTTGTTGTTTGACTTAGTCTTCAAGGTGTTAGGGGCTTGAAATGTTGCACTTCTGTGCCTGGTTCTACGTTAATTTACTTTGTCTGGATAGGATTGGTGGGTGGTTACTGTTTCCTTGATAGCTTCTACTTCAGTCACTCGTTAGTATGAACACGTGTTTGTTTCCACCTAATGGGCTCAGGGAACAGATAGAAACTCAGACTCTGTGTGTTGGTCTAGAAGGTAGAAGTGTCAGGTGTATATTTAAGAGGAAGACAGATAACTATTTTTCTGAAAATGACAAGATTTCCCATACTGATGAAGTCTGGTGTAGCATTGAGCCTGTTGTACAGACAGCAATAATGATAATTGGTAAACTACATCCAAATGTTAGCCTCATCAAAGTTCAAACGGATTCAAACTACTATGTCACTCGTTTTCTGTCCATCTTTCTCCTGTATTTTGCTATGAAGCATTGGGACTTGAAGCAGTGTACTTCTGTGTCATGTTCTACATTTATCTTTCTAATTGTCTGTCTTGTAGAGTTTTATCCTTTCCTTTAGTAAGCTTATAGTTGGGGACAAGGAACTTAAATTGTGGTAAAATGGACAACCTGTAGAGTCGATCCTTCCTGTCTGTTTCTTCCTCGAGTGATATGGCTGAACAGCAACACAACTTATTTCTCAGACCTCCATCACCATGCAAATTATTGACATTATGATGAAATTTGCTTTTACTCCTTAGATTATCCATCTTACCTTTTTGGAATGATAGAACCACTGAACAGTTGTTGTAGAAAGCAAATGTTGTTGATTCGTTTCGATAAGCAAGCCTATGCACTACATCACTGTTGCAGTTGTCAGTCAGGCTAGGTGTTTTCTTCGAGGATTTAAACACGCATAAAAATAAATCCAAGATTTCTTACCAATTTATTCTGAATGTCTTACTAGAAGCATGTTGCACTACAGTGTCTTGTCACATAACTTAGTTTTTTTTACATTGCATATTTGATCGATCGATTTCAATCGGTATTCACAGCTGCAAAACCATATTGATTACTATCCTTCATCCTATCCTTTTACTAAAAATTATTTTATTACAGTCTGTCAGTTAATCTAGCTCTTTAAAGTAGTCGATGGGACAATTAATCTTTTGATAAATCAATTCAAGCTTTTAGTAATGTTAGTTGGATGAAGGCAATCAGCAGGAAGCCCTGGACCAAGGTTTCGTACTTGTTGGCATTCGTCAGCAAGGTGTAGCTACAACCCAGACGGAACTGATGTCCCTGTTAATGAACCAATATTATTTTGTATTCTTGTGTGTGATAGTTGAACAAGCAATCCATAATTATTGAACTCTTTTTTTCTTTATACTGAATCTAGATTCATTGGTTAACTTACAGACGTTAATTGATAATGTATCAATGCATTTAAACTGGGATTTTAAATCCGTTGATTCATTGAGAATTTTGTTCAATGGATTCCTTTATCTGAGCCCAGATGTAAGTCCTCATTACAATATGCCTAGTTAACCTTTTATTTGTTGCTCTGGTTGGTTGGTTGACAGCAGCGGTAAGAACACTCTAGACATAGATTTCGTATTTGTTTTTACTCACCAGCAAGGTGTGCCCATTCACTGGTAGATGCATGTACTCATCTATTTTTACAATGGATGAGTCGCTGTCCGAATATTTTAGTGATAGTGTTCTTGGTTTTAGGTCTACATGACTTGATTCCCACTGTGGATTGACCTTGGTCCACTTGGAGCTGTAGATACCGTTTGCTGATGAGTGATAACAAGCACTTAACCAAAAAGGGGCCCTTGCTGTTTGCTATGGCATATCCAATGATTCTTTGTTATCTCCTATAGATTCTTGTAATCATAGATTTTCAGCTATTCACAACTCGTGCTACAAATAGAGCTTAGCCTAAACTTATTTATGATTATTTTGGTTAAATTTGCTTTGCTAATATATTTCACAAGTAAATTAAATACTATACTTTTTTTGTCCAAAAGAATTTAATTTATTGGAAAAGATGTCTTAACCAAATTTAATACCGTCTTTTAGTGTTTGGTTTACACATTTAAGTAACAAGAATTCAGTTAAAATATACTACTACCGAACTGTGTGTAGAATTGGGTTATCGCAGGTTGGAAAGTAGTCATGGTCAGTTGGGTAACTGATAAAAAACGGAACATGTAGAAACGTAATCGGATGAACCACCTTTTATATATATATATATATATATATATATATATATATATATATATATATATATATGCCTTTGAACCTTACGCCTTCATTTTGGGCCGCTCGGTTCCTCGAAAGCCAAAAAAAGCGGCTAAATGATAAAGGTTTGTTGTCAAGTTGGGTAAATGTGCAAAAAGTAACGGTATGTAAATGATTTCCACGGCCTTCATGCTTTCTACACCCTTCTAGGAAGTCATTTAACCCATCTGAATTTCACACGTATGATCACGTGGTTTTTCGTTAATATTCGGCATGTCTTGATTGATTATGTAAGCTTTCATGGAATCTAGGAGGTATTGATTCACTCATAGCATTTTACTCTGACCATGAGCATTACTGTATCAAATGGTTATGTATGTACGTACATTCATAGTAGAGAACATTTGTGGCTCAGGATGAAGATGATATTTGTTTGGTATTTTCTGAGCTTTGAGGTTCATTCTTGAACCTTTCAAAGCCTGGAGAACACCAAGCAATTATCATATACAGTCATCACACCAAAGACCTTTATAGCGTTTTCTGATATCCTCTAATGGGACTGTTAGGCAGTGAAACATAAATCAAACTGTTCGTGTACATATCCAAGTTAGTTTGAATACTATTAGTTCAATACCTCGTTCAGTGTACATGCTACAGTTCCGCATCAAACTACTTTGAAAATTTGGATTCAGATCGAGTTTGAGGGAGGTAATTTTCAATATTTATTCATATTCATTCACCCTATGAACTTGCATAACACTTCTTGATTTCCTCTCTCATATTTCAGCTGCATTCACAGATTTTATCTATCATATATGACCATTGGATTGAAAGGAAAGATGTTTTAACGGAAGTTCTATACCCCACTATAATTGACTGGGCTTGTGTTTGGTGTGATGCTCCATGGTTTTCGGTTTACCCTGCTGGTGCCAACATTTTAGCATTTTGTTGTATCAAGTAATCCTTATTCTTTTACTTTGGTGTACTTTTGCATTAAGATTTTAACTACTCAAAGTTTTATCAGTATGTCAAATAAACATTCAATCTTTCATGAAGTAACTTGTTAGACCAGTGTACATATGGAGCTAAAAATAATCTAGATATGCGTTATAACGTTATCTTCTTTAAGTTGTACCAAGTTTCTTTGCCTCCTATTCATCGGAGGTGAAATAGGCCAACCGTCTGTAAGCGGAAATAAGTATAGTGCAAGAAAAGGATGAATCGCTTAGTGTTTGTTGTTTCGGAACTAAGGGTTTTTATATTTTTATACTTGTTCATCTACTATAAAGTTGTAGGGAGCGGACTATGTCTCATTTTTTTTCATGGGTATTTTATTCTGCTCATCCTAATATTACAGGTTTTCTTCTTAGTTATCGAGTTTAAGTAGTTGCTTACTCAAAAATGTGTGATTTAACACCACCTGAAGAATAAATGTTACATGACAGTTATAAAGAGTGATCCTTTTCTGGGTTACGTCTACATATGACTGACAGACGGACAGACGAAATCAATGTAGAACCCCGCACATGAGTGGATCGGTTCGACTTCCTACACCTTACAGTAGTATACAAAGAATAAGTGGATGGAAAAAAAAGTGATATCAAAGTAGAAAAAGTTGTATGAGAGGATAAACAATTTGAAGACAGATGTTAGTGCAAATATTTCATCTTAAAAAGACGTCAAAGAGTGGATACATCTGCACCATTGTGACCTATTTTCCTCCATTTCACCAAGAATTCTCAACCACTAGGGCTGGGGTTGTTATTGTCTAGGCTCACCGGTGTTTTCATTGCAGCGCAATTGGAACTTAGACATTTCATATTAACTTCTTCATTTAGTTTAAAATTGACACGCTTTTATATACTAAATAACGTTTCGAGCATAGTTTACTGTTCAGGCTATCATATGATTTGGAGACTGAATAGTTTTGCGTTACTGGTTCTTTGATTTAAGTGGTAGTAGAATTTTCCTTATGCCTATTGTAAGCCTTGAATCATTCATATTACACTACGGTTTGACTCGATGAACACAAGACTTACTGTCTTCGTTCACCTAAACATAATGATTCGGAAAACTTACTTTTTTTTTCCGTTGTATTAAGTCTGCTAGTGTTTTTTCTGAACCGATTTTTTATGGGGAGGCTTACCACCGGACTTGGTTATATTCTTACGGTTTCATAATTGCATTAACCGTAATCCACTAGTTCGATTTGCATGCTCGACTTCACAGCCATTATGTTGTGTCTTGTAAACCAAAGTAAAATGTTTGACCAGGTTATAATAGGCTGCTAACTGATTTTATCTGACCATTGAGCCGGATATTTATGCACATCATTACAAGCTTTTTCTCAAAAATTCGGATTATACTGATTAAGTGAAAGTGATTTCAGAGTAACTTCAAATGGCCACCCTAGCAACTGTTGAAATAACCAGTCAGATTACGATATTTCATAAAATCCCTAATTGATTATCTTAGCAGTTGTTAGGTTGGCCTTTAAAGTCATTCTATTTTCAGACGTTTCAGACCTGCATGAAGTATCTGGACGACAATATTGCACACAATAACAGGCACTCTACAGGCTTAGACTTATCACCTGGTTGTGTTCCTCATACCGCTACCGTCTCATGCTTTATCAAGAGTATCTCAGTAACTTATTAAGGATAGTTTTTCTGTTTAAAATATTTCACTTACCCGTATTTTTCTCATCCCTTTTCTATAATACTCTGTTTATTTTCCTACCCTTTTCTATAGCTTATTTATGTTCTTTGCATTCTCTCCGCAGTGGTTTATGGAATCGGTCTTATTTCCGTTCAGATATACACACCTGGCTTTTGGACAAATTGAAAAGGTTTTTGGAGCTAGATGAAGGAAGAAGCAATAATTTTAGTGATAATTACGACTTATCATTGTTCAGTAATAAACTGCTCCATGTTGTTAAGTTCCAGTCCGGTCTAGGTAGGCAGTAGACACTTCATAATCTTTTTTTGTTTATGTATACAGTGGATCATGCATGAAATCTGTATCAGTTTTCTGAATGAAGTTAACCGTCATCTCGTAATCCAGTGATAGAAAATAAAAACTATTAGTACAACTTAATAGAATCCTATATATTTGTCTATTAAACTATTACCTAACTTGTTTAATAGCGTGTGGTGGAATTCTATTTGCCAAATAGTAGGTAGATGGGGTGTATAATTTTCAAATGACTTACAAATCGCACTCTCCACGTTGATATTTCTCGCAGCTGAATGGTTTTTCAACTATCCAACTGGTATCAACAGGATTTCTGTCTGGAACCTCTCAGCAAAGATAACAAGGTGTAGTCACTGACACAGGTGTCATGAACTAGGGAAATATACAACTACTGAACAACTGGAGCAATCAGAAACCACTCAGGCTGACCTTCAGATTTCGCTCGGTTGTGACAAATGTCAACATGAACCGTGCAATTCGTAAATCATTTGCCAATCATTTATCCTATTTAAGGTATATTGGTCCGTCCAAGTTAACTAGTCAGATTAAGTTGATCTGAACATTTCGGCTCTGGAAGTTGAGTCTCTCCGGGTACAGTGCTATATAGCTCGGCCTTTAATGAGCTAAACGACCGTTCAGTGTTTAGATCACTTTGATCTGGATAGCGAAATCTGCAAATCAGTGTGACTGGTTTCTCACTACTGGTGTTCAACGGTATATTTCGGTAGGTGGGTGAGTTTAATTCTGTAATCCTTCACAGTTGTCAGTTTATGTTTACTGTTGTATTAGGTAAGTGGATTAGATAAGAGACTTAGTATGTTACAAGAGCATGAACCAGACGTATTTTATATGTTGTAAGAAACATCAACAACATCCTATGGTATCTTACTGTAGTTATTAGACATATAGACATATTTTTCTGTTTTTTCCTGAGGTTAATGTCATTGGAAAGGTTGAGTTTGTAAAGTGGTGGGATCTCAAGCAGAAGGTATTCAATGCAAGGGTAAAATAGGGACTGTTGACTGCAATGGGATGAAGCAGCACTAAGGTGTTTCCTAATAATTACCGAAATTCTCTGTAATTGTGATTTCCGGTTACTTGGAGTTACTAAAAGTTGATGTGATGTATTTGTTTAACGGAGTAACAGTATTGGCATATCCATCTGTGTAAAAAGTACATAAAATATTTCTTAAATGCTCATGTTATGACGAGTCTCAAGCGAATGCCCCTTGGAGTTTACCGCCATACTCAGAAGTCTAATAGACCGTCAATACTAATTCATTCCTTTCAGGTACATCATAAAAGAGATATTTTTTACAATAGGATTGCGCAAACAGTGTTAACAAAAGCACACTAGTCGTGTTTCTTGGTTGTTTTCCCTTCATTCCTTCCTTTTAACTTACTTTCAGTTGGATTGCGAACATACGTGGGGTCACTTTTTCTTTAGATGTCGATTGAAAAATTTTCAACGATAACAAGTTCGTAATGGCCAACCTGTTGGTTGACTAGAGTCTTTCGTGACGGACGGGGGAGGTGCGTGGAATGGGAGGAAAAAATAAGACTAAATTTGTCAATCTTATGTTTCTGTGTGATCTTTGAAGAAAATGTCTTCAATCTATCATCGCCAAATACTCATTTGAATTCATAAGTATTCAAGCCCTTATTCAGTTATTTTTATTATGTAGGTGCTCACATCATATTCCGTTAGAAAGATAATTGCTTTTCAGCTTCACTTTGACGGTATTATTTCTACAGATAACGCTAAGTTTACTGTGGACAATAACTTCTGAGGTGTAATTCAATATTAGTTTCAGTATACGAAATTCTTAAGATCTCGATGAAGATAGATGATGACACTGGTTTTGTTAACCAAAAAAAACATACATTTAAGAGTATTCATCTATTGTTTTGCATCGATTAAGAAAACGTCGATTATGGTGAAAGAATTTCTGAACAGTAGAAATCCAGTTTATCGTATGCAACTTCACCAACCTGGTTTTTTTGTCAAGGCAGTTTCTGGGCATTTTTATTTTCGCTTGTACCCTTTACTTCGGTTTCACGTCACTTAGATACTCATCGGTTAACTGTATCGTATGTTTCCATTTCATCATGTTTCTTTTCTCCTTATTTCAGTACTATAATTATTGAATTGATGGCGTATTTGTATCTATCTCTGCTGTTACAGGCTTCCTTCTAACAATTGATCAAATTTTGTCGACTTGTCTAACCAGGTTGTCAAAAAATCCAAAGAATTACAAACCTAGCCATTAGTTGACCCAATGCTATATGAATTTATCTGTTGTACAGAATTGCCAATCCTGTGTTTGCAATTATGCAATTTATGCCTTTTTTCAATGGGTTGTCAAGTTTGTCATTTTAATGAAGAAAACGTTTTTATGACTGACTTTTCTAAAGGTATCCAAAAATATTCAACTGTTTGTTTCTGGTACTATTTGTGAAAAGTGTTTATCTAAAATCTTCGGAAATTTCTGTTTCTGTATGATATCTGTTGTTATACGTTAAAGAGGAATAGTATAGAAAATGTGTAACAGCTGCCAATTATGGCTTCATGCTTTAAGTTGTAAGCTACGTTTATCGTGTGACGGTTGATAATGCTACCTTATTTCTGGAACCCAATTGGTTGTAGGGCGGAGCTATGGTTCAGTAATCTAGACATATGACTTCCAACTATGTCCTACGGGTTTGAACCCCGCTCCATCTACCTAGGTCTGGACAGCCAAGTAGCATCAGTAACCGTCATACAATAAGTATGACTCAGCACCTACTGCGCGATCGTTGTAAATGGTTACTGAGTGGATTTCCATTTCAGTTAAAACTCATGAGGTACTAATTGAAATTCAAACAGTTTGGCTGATGAACTACAACACACAATATATGTGGTATCGTGTACTTTTTGTGCATTCTGTGGTTATCGTTGTTAGTTCGTGAGAATGGATTGCATCTTTCATTGTTTTTGATTCCTGTCTGTTTCTTAGGTGCCTCCTCGTTTCGAGAATTAAGCATGGCAATTTTGAAGACCATTACCATAGCAAGACGAAATCAGTCAACAGTTAGGTGAGATTTGTTTTCTATTGATGAAAATTAGTTTTCCACTTTTCATATATGCATTTCTTATGTCAGTAAAAGGCAAATTATCACTTTTAGTATGTGAATATCTAAAGCGGCTGACTTCGACTACACAAGTTTTTTTTAGTATAAATTGTATTAAAAGCCGTCAGAATGTAAGTTCATATTTGATATAAGGGCAGCCAGCTTTTTCTATTGATGATCAGTTTCAAGTGGATAACTATTCACAGTTTGAGAATGCCCACAAACATAGGAAGGCAGCGAATAAGTGTAATTAAGAATATTTAAAAAGGAGACTTTAACTGTATCTGAAAAAAGGTGTATATACAATCTTTTTCACGTGATATTATTACTTCATACATTTTACAGTGGAACGGTTGATCAACTCCCAGAATCTCATCTAATTCAAACTTTGTCCGCATCTACAAGTAATATAACTTCAGACGAGAATTCAGATGTTCATTTATTCAATGCAGTTGAACTGTTACCTGAATATCAACACATTCTTTCTTGGTCATGGAAGACACTTAAGGTAAGTCAGATGCATTCTCGTATTAGCTGTTTTAGGTCAGTTGACAAGAATCTTTGGATCTAGGCTAGGCGTTGTGCTTGTTAGTACTCATAAGCCAAAAGTATCAGTAGAAGTGAGGAAACTCATGCTCTATCAGTGATTAAAATGACCACATTAGGTTGTTGATGATCACTATAGTCAAGATATGAGTCACCTACTGTTACCTATATGTGTGCGAATATCCTCTTGTCTGATATGTCAATAATTAGAGTCATATTTCCTCTGTTTTTTCGTGTCATTCGTTCTCTTTTCTATTGACTAAGAAAGTCACAAATTATTCTGCAAGATATATTATTCGTTGTCATCGTTCATCAGTTCATTAATTGATATGCATAGTTTAGCGGTCTAATTCAACCGCTGTAACTCAAGGTATTCTCAGTCATTTGAGATGTATTTTATTTTATTCTCGGAAGGAACGATTTCCATAAATTTGCGAAACGCTAGAAATTTATTTTTCTACTTCTTTTATATATTTTACAAATAGATATTCCTAATCCTTCTACCCACTCCTTAACTTATTCTATCCGATCAGGTCAAATTTTGATCCTGAAGTCTATAAAATATAGAAGTCAGGAAACTCTCCACCTTAGTGGATTATTTTGAGTGTACCGAAAATGAGTCATGGAAACAGTCACTTCATTATATTATTTTGTTGTCAGTTTTATTAGCTTTCTTATCAGTCATTAACTGTCGTTCCATATCTGAGTAGTTCGACTGTGAAGTATATTATTCACTTTCTAATCTGAATGACTTTGTTGAGTATTTTCAATTGATTGTGTATTGTGGTCATGCTGTTAACCAAATGTACCGACGCATGGGTATTAAAGTATTGGTAAACTGGGGACAGTCACGTAGGAGGGAGCATTGGTGATATTTGTTTAAATTTCCATCCAGTAAGTGATTCATGGGGGTATGAGGTCAGAGGCAAATACAAATATTTTTAAAAGTGTTATGCTCGCTGAACTGGATGGAATAATCGTGAAGCATTCCTTGTCATTCCAGACAACATTATTAGTACAAACTTCAGAAATCCGAGGAACTTCAGAAAGAACTAAATTACAATACGGGAGGCGCTTCAAGACCCGAATTCTTCACATCCGTTGGGTCATCACTGAAGACTCCAGGACTAAACTCTGAAACCCAACAGGAAGTACGACAAGTAATCGAACCTCTGATCAGGCGGAAGCAAAATGGTACTCAACTAACTATTGAAGAACAGAGAGCTCTTAAGAAACTGGAGAATAAAAAGAACATCGTTATATTTTCAGCTGACAAAAGGTGCACTACAGTAGTCGTGGATAAAAACGACTACATCAACAATTGATAATTACCAGTGAGGTGTATAACAAGTTGCTCCCTTTCATACCAATGCATCATGATTAAAAAATTGACAAGATTTATTTATAATACAAACTTGGATCATAATATTGTAGAAATTCCTGGGCTCAGTAAAAAAAGCGATGAAGGAAATAACGGAAAACGATGCTACGTTTTAGACGAATATAAGCCATAACTTCGTGTGGACTATTAAAATTGAGTGTGAATTCTCCAAGCATCTGAGAATTCTAAGCTGTTTCGAAAAAATTGTCTAGCATAAAGCGATTATTATTATTATTGTTACTATCATTATTAATTTGGGTTGTCTTGTGAACCCAAAGAAAGGAGTCCACAGACCAACAGTTGAAAGCTTTAAAGAATGGTGATATGTGTTTGCGCAGCCATCTGTAACGTGTTTTCAACCCAAACCCTACTCCTAACGCTTTATATTGTGTAGGTTTTGGTTACTCTGGGATTTAAACCGATGCCCTCTATTTTCGAAAAGTAATTTTACTAATCATTTGTTTCCAGAACTGGTATCCAATTCTTTTTTATTACACAAAATTTCCGTTTTGTTTCTGTCTTTCGAAATAAGTTTTGTTCCAGTATTATTGCTAGTTGGTCAGCTATACAATTCAAGTTGAATCAGAAAGAAATCAGCTTAGATCAGATGGTGCTCATTTCAAAAATTGGTTATCAACTGCTGCATCAATTACTGCAATGTCGTCATAAGGTAGGCTTTATTATTTTTTAAACAGAATGTGAAATTTTCACTGTATTATACCTGGATATACACGTGGTAAATGTTACTTAACTGTTAGAACTTGAGCAGTTGAAGTAAGATTTGAAAGTGTGATACTTTGTTTGACAACTATGAGGACTTGTATGCTAAAGTTGTGGTTCGGAAATTATCTTTTTTCATTAGTCAGTGTCTGTCCGAACTGATTATGTGTACCTCCTATATTTGTTTGTTATTTAGTAATAGAACATTCACTATACTGAAGGTATTTTGTACATCTTTATGTCTGTTTAATTGTTTGCTTATGCCACAGTATTACATCAGTTTTAATCTTTTCCATCATTTGTTATATGACTTATACTATCGCTTTTTATATTCCGCGATAATAGAGAAGGTGAGAAGCTGAGGATGACAGTGCGAGTTATTGTTTAGTGTTCTATGAGCTTTGATATTTGATTATGGATGTTTTACAATAAGGCTGAATGACGTCACCAACACTAAAGTTGAGACTTGTCTTTAAATGATATTAACATTGTTTTTCCACCTTTCTAATGGGTGATGTTAGTTTTGTTGGGATAAGTCATTTTTAGTTGTCGAATGATGATGTTTAACCGTGTCGATATCCAGTGTGTGAGCCACTCTAGCTGGAAGTTCGAATAACTTCTACTCTAAGTGGTGCTGAAGCATTCTTTATCATACTCTCACTGTCAGTAAGTGCCTGGAGAGAGGCGAAATCCTGGCAAATCGTGTTTGGATGTCATTGTTTTTTAGGAAAAAAGAGATTTGAAAGCGAAGTCTCCTGAGTAGTCAGAGAATTTACTGGTATGAAGTGAGATAATAGCATGAAACTGGGAGAGACAATTGTTGTGTAAAAGTTTCTCGTTATAATTTTTTTCCTGTATGAAGCAAGGGATTCGTTCTACATGAAGAAATACTACTATGTAGTTTATCTTTTAGATAGGCGAAGTTGGTTTGTACGTATAATCCTATATTTTTTGTTGTTGAATGAACCACAACTTTACCGTCCAAAATAAAGTACTTACTTCATGTTTTACTAAAGCCTTTTTGCAATAATGAGCTGACATTCTTCCATTCATTACATTTTCATACTTTTTCTAAAGGGATCTATTGAGGCAATCTACTTCAATCTTCTGCTATATATGCAAACTACTGAAGCCTACAAATCTTCGTCAATAGTAGTAAATGAAGCAGTACCGGATTCACAAGTCGATTGCGAAGACTTTCCTTCTGGTGTTGAATATTCGCTGATGTCCAGTGGTAGGCTGTTGTTAGCTGATGATGTGCTGCGCATCTGTTGGCAAGTAATGAACAATAGTGCTTACTCTGTCACTAGACGTGGCGCTGGTTTGAAACCAGCTATTCGTGCATGTCTTTTGGTTAAATCATGTAATGGACTTGAGGACCCAGTGAGTATATGTGTTGTATGCAATCTGTGTTTAGGTTTTCAGATTAAATCATGCGTTCACACTGAAACTAGCATAGTTTGCTGGGTGGGTCCAGCTTGATGATGCATCGATGTAATCAGATAAGAGAACTTATGTTGCATAACCAAATAGCTGAGATTTTAGATAGCATGTTTTTTTCTTCATATTGTCACCTGTTTCTATAACGTAACTTTCGTTGGTGTATCCTTAAAAATTGATGATCAGCCTTCTCAACTTCGAAGAGACCTAGAGGATTTACATCCCACTAAACTTCAGACTGGCTTTGGGCAGTTAAAATGTTGTTGTACGCCAGTTGAACTACTCTTCATAGGACTTCATCCAAGGTTTTAAAAATCTCTCACGAGGAGTTATCGGGTGCCTATTGCATACACTAGTGGTTTCACTAAACATCGTCTTTTTTTTTAATCAGTTTTGTTTCTAAGTCTAATTAATTGCCGAGTCTAACCAAGTGCTAGTGTCTCTTCCATTTCTTTGGCTCCCACCACTCACCACTACTCACAGTCATTGCGAAGACTGTTGGTCAGTTTACTTTGAAGCTGACTTCCGTCCTCATTGTGGTTAGAGCTAGGTGAAATGAGTCTTCCCTCACCAGGATTGCACATAGTTTCTGGCTTTTTCTGACTTTAAATCAGGTGTTAAATCAGGCCTCACCAAGATGAAAAACTTTGCCATGTTCAGACAAATGGTTATTTGTCTCCTCCTTAAATACACACTTGACACTGCCATCTTCTAGTCTAGCTCGCGGATTGAGTTTTTGTTTGTTTTCATTAGGACCAAGCAAGAACGTGCCTGCACTAACGCGTGATCGGAGTTGATGCGGATACTACATAAGTGACAACCCCCACTGATTCTTTTCAAAGATGGCTCATCGCAATTTAACCTATGTTTGTACACTTTAAGCTTGATGTCAGTGGATGAAAGTGTGGCAGTATCTTTTCTTACTGTTGAATTCAGTGCTGGCTAGAAACAAGTGGTTATTAGACAGAAATTGTAGGAGACGATCTCTGGTTTTGGTTCGTCGAAATGGGATCCCGTAGATACCTCTACAATATCTTTCTGAGTGACTCAGTTTCCCTACTTGTGCGTTGAACAAAACGAAGACGAAACGCACTCATCTCCCTGCTGCACGAACGTGCAGCAGGAAATGAACTGTACCTATTATATGAGCGTTAGTGAAACTACCTGACTGCTCAAACGTCGGTAGGTGAAGCGGGGCTCCAACCTGTGACCCAATGTTTGATAGTCTTCTCCCTAAACCACTGAACCACAGCTCCATTTCAGCTTTAAAATCGCCTTCAAGCATGTTTATATCTGAACATTTTATTTTACGTAGTGGTATAACTCATTCTTTGTTTCATGCAAACTGCCGTCAGTGGGAGTGGAGTCGGAGACTACTGTGTTATCGACTCCTGTCACAGTCTTTTTCAGTTCTTACAGATCCATCCAGTCAGACAGCAGAACGACAGTTATTAGCTGTTATCCATTCGATAAATGTGCTCTGTGTTCTGCAAATTGGTGCAATACATACACTAACGATTTCATGCTAGTTAGCCATGTAATGTCATAACTCTAGCAAAATGAATTTAACAGATTACTTTATATTGATATATACTGATTATTATAGCTAGTGACTACTGAGATTGAAATTTAATTTTTTTGACTGGAAACTATCAATGTGTATGCTATCCTTTGCATACATTTCATGTTCACGAAAAGTTATCATTAATGTGTGTCTACATCGCTGAAGTAGTGGTAGTCTTCTGGAGGTTCGATGTGACAGCAGCCACCACTAATTCTTGCTTTAAGATCTCGATAGGGTTGCCAACGTTTTCTGAAATGCTCACTTTTTTGGCTGATGTTCAGTAGGGAACAAAATGTTTGTTAGATGTTGCGTTATGCTATTTTTTTGTAGTAATGTGTTGTTTTTAAGCTTTTAGATTTAGGCATCACAAACGTAAAGCAAACTGATGAGCATTTCACGACCTTTATTATCTTTGTCTATCTGAACAGTTTGACCATAAATAGAGTTGGTTATTAATCACCGTTTCCATTAAATCTTTGGAAATGACAAGTTTTATATGAAATTCCTCCTTGTTCACATCGTCAAACCTAATAAATTGGTTACTTTGCACTTATTACATTCGGATGGGGAAGACTTGATTATTCATTGAGTTTTTATGTCAATTGTTTCATCATATTTGAGACTATTCAGCAGGCTTTTCTTATCTTCTAATGTGTTGATATTCTTTAGTAGGCTTGAGTTCAGTACAAATCTCTTAAAACACGAAAGTGATATCCTCTAGGCGTTCGAGTCAATTTCAGTGGGAACACTTACACTCGTCTGGAGGCAACTACATAAAACTGATAAATCTTAATTCGAAAAAAATTGCACATGGTTAAATTCCACTGCTAATCACACCGAAAAAAACAATGTCAACTTAAATAACCTTTGAATTAATTAGAATTTGGAAGTGTTCGGGATTTGTTGTTTTTGATCAGAAACTTTACGTATGATCCTCAACAAAGCTGGGATTTGGGTGACATTTAAACCTACAAACTCACTCAGAGATAAGCTTTGTCGGCTAAAGGATCCGATAGAACCAATTAAGCAAACTAATCTAATCTATCAAATTCCATGTAATGACTACGAGGTCAGGTACATAGGTCAAACTAGTCAGTCGAGGTCAGTTAGAATAAATATAAAATGATAGACCATAATAAGATCAGTAATCTAGAAAAGAAACTCGGCTGTTGCAATTCATGCATTAATACACAACCACATAATAAAGTGGGATAAAACCACTGCACTTAAGTCCAATATAACTAGGTGGAGAGAGAGAGAGAGAGAGAGAGATTGATTACTCAATGTTTGTTCATCGAATCAACACGCAGCACATGTAATAGAAATGATGCAGCACCTATACCAGAGATATGGAAAATTTTGCTACTAGTAAAAACAAATTATATGAGGTGACATAACTATAAAAATCAAATGTCAAAAGTAGTGTGATTACATTGATATGATTGTGAGCAATGATAATTTATGCTCATGTAAATAATACTGTATTACTGTGTGTTATAAATCAAATAAACAAATCTAATATGGAATTAAATTCTACCATCGGGGACAAGTTTTGCACCTACATTAATGTTTTTGATCAAACTGTTTAAAACGGTTTAATGATACTTGCAATTTCTCGTTGCTATACTAGGATGAAATGCTCGACCTGAGTTGGTAGATGGGTTCTTTTGCTTATGCCTTGATACTGACCAGATATTCATTAAAACCGTATTTTATAATAGGAATCGTTATTTTTATAGTGTGAAATAATTTTCATTTATCAGTAATTCGACTCAAAGATATGCGAGATAGGATGCATTAGATATTCAACACTGTTTCATTGGGTAATGTTCAATAGTTTTTAGTACTAAATCAATTATCAGAGGACTAATTATCATCCTCATGATGTGATTCGATTCTGTGCAACCGAGGTTTTCTTCTTTGTAACAGCCACCTTCTTGTCTTGTAGAGTTGTTGTGCTGCACTAAGTTAGATACGCTATGTCACTTGTGGAATATGAAGCCATCGTCAAAAAACTGAATGTAACATCATAAAAAGTTGTTACATTCCCTAGAAATATTACAATATTGTCAAAAATTTCTATCTGGTGATAAAAAGCAGTAAGCTTATAATTTTTGATAAACTTCACTACTTATCTCCCAGTGCTAAAATATATTTGTGATTTGGTTTTTTTTGTGATCTTAATGAAACTGTTCAGCTTGATTAACTTGTGTGTATATGGAACTCACTATGGGTGCATTTCAATAGTTATTTGTATCGTTCGCTGATGATGAGCTTAGTTTTCTACACTGGGTGAAAGTTATTTGTCAGTACAACCATATATAAGTACTATGTACCGATAGATATGAAGATGTTCTACTTCGCACAGACTTATTTCCTTTTTTTTGCATTTTTTTTCTATGGAACACTTAAGTGAAAGTTTTGTAATGTTTGTTCTAAAACTGTATCTTTTAGCCTTGTTCACTTGTTCGTTGTTTGCAAAGTTTGTTTAAAATCACCCAGTCAGATGATAAAGATTATATTGCCAGTGTGGATTGTGTATCTGGTTCAAATACTCTTCATGATTCACCACGAGTTTTCGCTTTGCATTTACTGCATGGCTTGTTTATGGATGCTCAACTACGCGTTCATGAGCATCCTGTTCCTTCAGAAAATGGTTATTCACCTAGCAATAACTGGACAATTGAAGCTCTTCAGTTGGCGGTTATTCCGGGTTTTAGTTCAAAGAAGTGGAATGTTTGGAATGCTGCTCTACAGCTGCACAGTAAGTAATATAGTTAAAAATTTATATCATAATGGGATCTTAGACTGAAGTCGAGTTTTGGTCAACTTCGCTGGCTATCCTGTGAATCAGAAATATGCATATTTTCTCTTTCTTTTATTCTGTTTCTCACATTCTTCTCTTCCGCAACTTAAAAAAACTGGAACAAACATTGGATTTAAATAATGCCTATTTATTTTAGTATTTCAGCGTTTCTCGTCAGCTGTGTACAACCTATACTGTTTATAAGACCAGTTAACAATAAAAGTAACATTTCAGGTCTCATGGCTCAGCTGGTAGAGCACCGAGTCGGTAATCTGGAGGTAACCGATTCAAATCTTGTTGCCACCCAGTTTTCCGTTCCACCGTCATTCATCACCCCTTATCAGTACCCTTGGTCTACCGAACCATAGCTATCTCATATAGTCCCATCAACAATATTTTAGTTCATAGAATAAACATGAGTTATTTAGTAACGAAAATCAGAACAAGACAATAGAGAACTAAAGTGGGCATGCGTTACGAAATTACAAATCTAAATCTTATTGGAACGAAAGTTCACGGGAAAATTTGATGTATCTAGCCAAATATATATCACGAAACTGAGAATGTAAAGACAATGTTTAATTCGATGAGTAGATGAGTTAGTAATAATCAGAAATCGAAATGTAATGAAATATAAGGAGTAGAACTCATTAGAATAGAACTGAGTTTTAGAATTAATTAAAAATCTAATGAGACGGTGATCATGATGTAATCGAATAGGTGAAGAGAGGGTTTAAGGTTTACGACAGATTCGTTTTGAACACATTAGTCTGTTTTGAGAAATTCGACTGCAACGACTTTTGTTTAAGAAAGAGGATATGCATATATTCATCTACAATAACCTCGAAAAATCATGTCCTGCACTATTAAAGCCACCTGCTACTTTCAAGTATAGGTTCTTCGCGACATGTTCATATTGTATGAGCCCTTCCATCCATTATCCCAATGTAACTGCCGTGCAGATACACATAAATTGAGGTAAATACATAAGGTGTACCTACTGATTTTTTAAATTGCAACAGACAGCGAGACGTTCAAAAAAGGGGGACTAGCTTTTTGCCAGATATTTCCTGATCACTGTACTGGTTGATCTTTTGCTTATTCATCACTTTCACAATATCAGAACTTTCGAACTTGAGGTTAACAGAGACTAGCTTCACACTGACTATCATTCTCTTAAGTTTGTTGCTGACTAACTGACAAAATCAATGTAGAATCTTGCACACAAGTGCAACGGCTCAAGTTGCCACACTTCGCAGAAGTACACAAAGAACAAATGGAAAGATAAGGAGTGATATCGAAGTAAATAAAGTAGTGTGAGAGAACAAACTGAGGGTAAAGGTTGGTATGAGTATTCACGCTTTAGAAGATGTCAAGGATTGAATACGTCTGCGCGATTGTGAGCGATTTTCAACCATTTCACCAAGAGTCCTCAACCACTGATTCCTATTATCTCAGGGACCCTAGCGAGGCAGTTTATATCACCCTACATGAATCTATCCAACAGTCAGGGATTTCATGAACTGGTGCCAGGTATTGGCCTGGCCACGCTGAACCCTTTTCCATCCTAATCCTACTTCCCCTAGCATGGCACGTCGAGGTAGCATTCTCTTCCATCATATTTTTAGTGAGACGTTTTGCGCATTCATTTTTGTTGAGATACTTCTAGAGCTGAAATAATTCATCCTGCAGGTTACCAGAACATATTTTTCGCCCATTGTGAAGCAGTAATGTACCCATTTAGACAGACAGACAGACAGACAAAATCAACGTAGAACCTCGCACACAACTGCATTGGCTCAGATTGCCACACTTCACAGCAGCATGCAAAGAACAAGTGGATAGAGAAAAAACTGATGTTAAAGTAAGTAAAGGTGTATGGAAAGAGCAGGAATTTTAGAATAAAGGTTAATGCAAGTATCTAAGCTTAGGAAGACGTCAAAGAGTGAATCCATCTGCGCTGTTTGACTGATTATCAACCATGATGTCGCCAAGAGTCCCCAACGACTGATTTGTTTCATCGCAAGGACTCTAAACAGTCAGTTTACACGTCTATGTGAGTCAGAGCAGAGGTCAGGAACTTCTTGAACTGGTGCCAAATCTCAGTCTGACCACAGCGAGCCCTCTTCCAACCGAATCCAACTTCTGCCAATACAGCACGTTGCGGTAAGCGGTGGCTCGGGATGCGCAGCATATGTCCAGGCCATCTTAGTCGCTGAAGGCTCGCAACCTTATGAACTAACTTTTCTTCCTTGAATAGGATTTTTCGCCTGACCTCAAGATTGCTTACATATTGATGCAATTCCACCATATGTGAGCAATACTGTGAGGACACATTTTTTCGAGTACTGGTAATTTTTTTCCATCTGTTTACAAAAACTATACCTCACAGTCATATAACAGGACAGAACGGACTGCAACTAAGTATATTCGTCCTGTAATATGTGGTCGGATATCTCGTCGGTGGGCTCTAGAGGTAACGCAATTCGACAAGTGACAAACCGGACTCCTGTATTCGAATTGAGATTCCGTCTGCAACCAACCCGTTTGGGCTGATGTGACTCCAAGTAAGTGAAGTGGTTGGTGCATTCTACCACATCACTCCATGTTTTTAATCTGGGACTAGCTGAAAACTAGTCCTGAAGCGTTATCTTGCATTTGACCTGGCAGAACAGCGTCGTCTGCCTACTCCAGGTTAACCATGTATACCCTCAAGGGAGGTTAGTCGTTGTGAAGTGTGACGTACCTAAGGTTATGGTCGTCGTCAGTTCAGACAAAAATTCTCTATCGGCTCTTGAACGGATGTATGCGCTCGAGTAGAGAGCGTTCATTGGGGTAACATACTTTATCGGTACTCCCCTGACATTCGCACACTGCCACAACACCTCACGGTCGACAGAGTCAAGTATTGCCTTTAGGTCAATAAATATGTCAAGTTTCAGCCTCCGGTAAGCATGCCTGTGTTCCAGAACCTGTCAGATAGTGAAAATATGAACAATGGACCGTCGTCCATCTCTGTCTGAAAGCTGCCTGTTCTCCAGCTGCGGTTAGGCGTCGGATAACTATGGATCCTAGGGCCTTGGACACATAATTAAACTAATTCCCCTATGCTTGTCACAGGAAGACTTCTTTCCCTTCTTATAGACTGGGATGATCAGAGAAGCACACCAATCTGACCGCACTATTTCTGATTCCTATAGCCTACTTAGTACTGCCGTTACTGTACTCCGTAATCTTCCTACATTGATCCTTGAAAAACTCTGGTGCAAAACTGTCAAGTCCTGTCGCTTTTCTTTCTTTCAATTTTGACATAGCCTTCCCACTTTCGAGAAGATTTGGAGGACTGGGTTGTACGTTACATTCAGATTCAGGCTGAAGGGTGAACAACTAAAGTGTTGCTGTGAGCGGTTGAATTGTTCTTAAAAGTGTTTCACCCAGCGTTCCAGCTGCTTGTCACGAAAGGCTATCAGTGTCCCATCCGTTTCGAGAATAGTTTCTCTGATCATCTTTTTCTTCTTGACGGTATCCTTAATATGCTTAAATGCTTGCAGGGTTTTACTAAATGCTGATACCTTTTCCATCGCTGTTACCATCCGCCACTGCTTACAATCGTTGCAAAAACTCTTTTTCAGTTTGCTTTTAAGTTACTTTCGCTGTTTTTTGTGGTCACAGCCAGCTGGAATATGTCTTCTCGCACCAACCAGTTTGAGTGACGCTGTAGATATCCATTGAAATTAGTTAAGCTTTGCATTTAGGTCACTCACTGTCTTTTGCTCTGTTTCTACAGCGGACTTAATATTACAACACTCCAGGTTTCCTCAGGATGAGTATTGCCACTACATCCGTGGACAAATGTTAACCTGTCTCCTCCTGAAATACGTACTTCTCATTTCCCAATCAAGCACAGACAGGCTTCACTCCCACCTGCTTTCGGTGACTAGTAAGACGCAAATATACCCATGCCCATAATCACCTATGATGCGAGTTCACACGGATACTGCGAGAATAGTGGTAATCCTCGACCGATCCTCTGCAACGATGGCTGGTAGCCACACAATCCCTTTCCATCGCTGGTTCGAAGTTGGTGGATGTCATACGAAACGGTGTCTGTCCTTATGCTTGAAGTTAGTCCTGGCCGGAAACAAGCGATTTTCGCAACAAAATTGCAATTGACTATGTGTGAACGTTTTGCTTTCTGTAGCAAAACTGACTTCTCATAGAGTTCACTTTTTGCATCATCCGAACTGCACTCAGTGGGTGCGTAGGTGGAGAAGACGAATAGGAAGCGGCTGGTCTCATGACACATCCTAGTTCTTACAAATTTATTCTGTCGAACAGCACGCAGGTAGCTGTTTGCTGGTATCCAATGGAGAAGCGAGTCTATGAGAGCTAGCCATTGGGTCTCCAGATACTGTTAAGGGGGATTTTGAAGATTTACTACCATGACCGAATGAAGTCAGTTTAATAATACGTGTCTCAGAAACACAGCATACATCCCTGGCTTGAGACTTCAGAGTTCTGTTGAGCGATGCCTGCTGTCTGGTTTGGCATAGCTTTTGGACGTTGGAAACTCTAATATGACAGCGGGGTCTCACAAAACTTGGAATGGTGTTTCGATAGCTTGGTAGGTGAGAATTTGTAGTAGGTTTAATATGGGCATTAGAAAGTGAAGGTAAAGGAGGGACATGGTTACGCGTAAGTTAGGTTTGATTGGGTTTATTTTATTACTCGAAGCATGTCAATTGGTGGTTCTCAGCCACCCATGGTGTGGTAGTTCTCCTTGAGGGTGCATCAAAAATATGAGTTACTACATAGCCACAGAGCCCGACGGACATCTGCTTAAAGCCGGTCACTTACAGTCTTTTAGAAAGTTTAAGATCTAAGTTTGTCAGTTTCGAATCCGTCTAGTCATAGAACCGACTAGATTGTTTGAGGAGGTATAGTAAACTCAGAGTGTTCCATCACTCTGGAATGAAATCATTTCTGTGTCTAACTTCAAAAAGGGTTTTCGTAATGTATGTGATAATCATCTTGGTATTAGTTTGTTACCAGTCACGTCGAAAATATTGGCTGCTATCGCACTTCGCAGACGTTGCAAAACACGTGAGATGATTTGCAATCAGCCGACCGGGTTTCGTTTAGGTCGTGGATGCATTGACCATTTGTTCACACTCCTCCAGCTGACTGGACATCGCCACACGTATTGTTGGCCAACAATCGTTGTGTTTCTTGATATTACGGTTGCCTTCAAACATAGCCATACTCTGGAATTGTACGTTGGAGAGGGGAGTGCCTGGAAAATTTATTAACATCTTGAAAGTTTTATATAATGACACCTCAGGTAGAGTGAGAGCGTGCAAGTACTCGTCTCCATTGTTCCGAACCAGAAGTAACGTTAGGGTGTTGATTAGAAGCGACCTTGATCAAAATCAGTATGTTAAGTTATCAGTCGCTAAGGTAGACGTTTTTGATCTCAACCTTGTTCCATGTTACTGTGTGGGCGGGGAAAACCGTATTCGACAGTTTTGTCCTACAGCTAACCAGTCAAAATGAGTATCCAACTTCTGATCTAGTGACTTTATTTTCTGAGGAAAAACTATCTGTAACGATGTTTTTTGTCAAACAAAGTTGCATTCCTTACAGTTACATGCCGGTTTTTGTCTTCTGATTTTCGCGGCGCAGTGAAGTATAAGGTTCTGTTGGAGAACAGTCACTACTATCTCATTGCGTTAGTAGCGTTCTCATATTTCGTATTGTTCTATCAGTCGCTTTCAGTCGGTCACTTCAATTGGCGACGGGTGTTAATTTTTTTATTTCGTCATATCTGTTTCGCTGAATGATCTGAAATCTATTTTGCAACTTCAACAAGCTCAAAATGAGCCATCTCAACTGAAGTTAATTGAAGTTCTAACAATCTAGTTGCTGTCAGTATCCCATTCAGATAAATATGAAAGCATTTCTAATTCTATCAGCGGCTTTAATTATAATCCAATATCTGGTCTCATGTTTTGATTTGATTTATGGTTTAATCGATATGAAGCTCGACTATTATTACAAAGACTTGGCGCTATTGAATACAATAAATATATCATTTTTATTCTGACAAATAATCCTCATAAGTTGTCGTTTGCTGGAACTATCAATATTTGATATCAATGGTTTTAACCTTCCACATTATCTTTTGAAGATTATATGACCTCCTGCTGGTAAAATCAGTCGTGGATGCGAACGATTCAAAGTCAGTGAAATAACCTCTGATCATTTGCTTGGTTGTGGCTAGCAGAAGAATCCAGGACCCGCGTTTCGTATATCAATAAATAGTCATGAGATCTGATAGGTTTAAATGTCGAATTTCTAGTTATGGTCTAGAGAACCCTGAAGATGCTGATTTTCGAACCAGAATCCTGTCACGGGTTGAACTAGATCCTAGAATGACGTTGTAGATGGTGGCAACAAAATGTCAACGCCTACTCAACTTGAAGAGTGACACAATTGTGGTAGAGCATAAGTCTCAACCTTCTGAATTGGTTGGATTTGTTGCAGTAAAATCTCCTCAGTCTACAGCAAAACTCACCAAACGTGAGGGTATACAACCATCTGTCGCTATTGTTCCAAAGGAGCAGTGGGGTTATGCAGGGTTGCCCGAATTCTCCATTCCCCTTTAAGTTTGTCATCAATGATATTCTGGAAACAGCTCTGAAGGAGGTATATGGTGGTGGTGTAGACCTAATACCCAGAGAACAGGGATTCCACATTGAATGTACGGATGATATAGTCCTACTGTGCAGTAACACACAGGCTAATCAGATCGCACTTAATCACTTGGTGATTAGTGTCCGTAAGCACGGCATGTGCTCTGCCCCATTGAAGTGCAAAGTGATTTTGGAAGATTGGCAGAAGTCTGTGTTCACGATCACTCTTATTGGTGAGCCATTGGAAGTAGTCGAAAAGTTAGTGTATCTGGGTAGTTGTGTGAGTGCTGGTGGAGGTTTAAGTGGTGAAATTTCTAACCGCATATCGAAAGCCAGAGTGGCATAGGTCAATCTGGATTACCTTTAGCACCGTTGTGACGTTATTCTGACCGCAAGTGGTTAGGTTTACAACGCTTCGATGCGAGTAGTTCTGCTTTTCACCCATGAACCCGGGTCTCTCCGAGCTGAGGACATGCAACGATTGTGTTGTCTCCGTAGGATTGCTCGTATCCAATGGTAACATCATGTAAGTAATTCTGAGGCATGATAGAGATTGTTATTCAATAAGTAGTGAGGTCATCTAGAAACGCTGGCTTCGGTGGCATGGATATGTGTTAAGCATGTCGTCCCAGAGGCTTTCATGCCGTCCATTGTTTACTAGCCCTAAGACTGGATGGAAGTGGATGGGTGGTCAATGTATGACGTGGC